TGGTTTCCCAGTAAATATTTATTCTCTTCTGTAGTTCTATTCCATTAAATATTTTTGCATATTTTATTTTTTATTTCTCAATCACCTTATGAGAACTTTATTGAATTTGTACACAGATTATCTTTTAATAAAAGTTTTGTGAAAATAAGTTAATAGCAAATATTGATGCATGAGATAGAAATGACTAGATATTTAGAATTCTATTCAAAATTAGCCAAGAGTTTTTAGGAAAAGGTAAGGGTAGAGACAATGTACCTAAATATCATAGGTCAAAGAAGAGTATAGTGGAAGTAAGGGCAATCAAAGAATTCTCCATAATTTGATGAAAGGAGGGAAAATTGGGATAATGCATACAGGAAAAAAACTTGAATAACTTTAAAAATTACTTTTCTAAACAGATTACAATAAAAAGTAATGTTAACTTGGTGAGATTACTAAATAAGTGGGACTTTTTTGTTTTTAATTGGTGAAGCTATGTAGGTTTATAGGTTTCCATTCTGTCTTTCATTAAGACTGGAATTTTGGTAAAGAATTTGTTTTTTCCTCTTTGTTAACATGAAACACTTGCTACTGTAGAATGTATAACAAAACCCTATTCCACCTTGTGCTACTGGATTGCTTATAAGTCAGAATTGAATGTACGGTAAAGAGTTTACTTAAATTTTTTTTTTTTTTTTTTAGGTTAACAGCCCAAACCACTAGGGTACCTTTCTAACTCTATTAGCATACCATAATTTTATTTTTGCATAGAATACAGTTCAGAGCCAAATATTTAACTTTTAAAGGTAAACTAATCAAATGAAGCGACTTAATTGCTTTACTTTGTGGAATATATAAAACTCAAATTCATTGTCATGTAATTAATTCCAACTCACAGCGATGTTATAGGACAGAGTAGAGCCTTGACCCTCTTGGTTTCTGAGACTAACTCTTCATGAGAGAAGATAGCCTCTTTTTTCCTCCCATGGATTGACTGGTAGTTTCAAACCGCTAATATTGTGGTTAGTAGCCCAAAATGTAACCAAGCACACAAGAGTTCTTCCTGTGGAATATGGTGACTGACACACTGCAAGTTGAATGTATACTTTAAACCTTTTTTTTTAATTCAACAATTATCTAGTATATTTTCTGGAACTGTAGACCTGATTTCTTGAAGTCATAGCCTATCAGTACCTTTTTTTTTTCCTTTCCATTCTTCACAAAGAACCAATGATACATTTTTCTTCATAGGGCACATAGGAAACTAATGCCCGAGGATGTTGCACAACATGTCCCCCCAAAACAAACAAACATTTAACATACATTATGTGGTAATCTGGTCCCTTTTATTTCCTAGCTTTTAACCATCTTTTCAGATATCCTATAATTTTTAACCTCTTGGCCTGTGTTGACAATTTTCAACTAGTCTCATAGTTTCTAGTATAATTCACACTGATGCCAGGGAAATCTTTGGAATATATGTATTTGATCCCAATAACCCACCCTTTTGAAATCTTTTAATGATGCCCATTACATTTCACACATGATTTTCCAGTTTCCCTGCGTGCACTGTTAGACTACATACTACTTGCAGTTCGCTGATCTTACATTGTTTCACATCTCCATGTCTTTGATTATGCCATGTCTAGTTGCCATGGATATTTACTCTTTTAAAAATATTACTATCAACAAAAGCAATGATAGTACATACTCTATAGATAAGTTTTTCTCTTTACCTTCATTAATTCATTTAGCCTTTGCAACCACCCTCGGAGCTAACTATAGATGAGAAAACAGGCACAAGATGTATGCTACTTGCCCAAGGTAATACAACTAATAAGTATTAGTGCTAGGTCATGAACCCAGATTCTTGTTTTTGGAGTCTCTTCCTTAGGTGGCCACTACAACGACATTTCCTTTTTCCATTTAAGAACTAGCCGAACATCAGTCCTTGGTACCTCCCCAGACTGCACTTTTCTACTGCACAAGAAAAGTGGACTGCTTCCTTGTTTGGTCTCTACAGATAATCATGTGGGGATACCCCTGCTCCCCCCTCCCCCCCCAGATGGAGAAAAAACTGGGTGGGGCTTTTATAGTCCCACTTAGGTGAGCAATGGAGCAGCTTGCTCTGAGTTAGTGCACCCAGTGGCGCTGCCTGGGAAGGTTCTCTCTGGTCACAGTGAATTTTTTCATCAGAGCAGTCTGTCTAACCACGTTTTCTTTGTGATCACCGATTTAAGAGGATAGTTTGCAGCTGGGATAAAAATGCCCCAGAAACTGGTGTGATGTTGAACTCAGCTTACAAAGATCCACTATGGGAATAACTCAAAAGTGTATGAGTGGTGTTCTGGTTTCAATAAAGGTGAAATGATGATTAATGACAAATCTCATTCTGGATGACTCAACTTCCCAAACAGATGAAAATGTTGATAAAATTCATGCTTTTGTGCATGAACACCGGACATCGAGTACGGTCCATTGAAGAGATGGGGAAGTTATTTGGACTATTTTGGAACTCGGTTCTGTGAATATTAAGGGAAGATTTGGAAATGAGAAGGGTTGCTGTGAAAGTTAGCTTGAGTGAAAACATGTTGTGCTTTGAAAGAACAGCTCCGACACGACCAATGCTTTTTTCCCACGAGGTCGTTACTGGTGACGAGACGAAGTACTGTACTTAGGACCCTGAAAGCAAATATTAATCAAGCCAGTGGAAGACGCCATCGTCACCTCACCCAAAAAAAAAAAAAAAAGTTCGTCAGGTGAAATCAAAGATCAAAAAAATACTCATTTGCTTCTTTGATGTGAGAGAGAGAGTGGATTTAGAGTTTGTTCCACCAGGTCACACTGTTAATTAAGCTTTCTATTTACAGCAGTGGTTCTCAACCTGTGAGACACGTGACCCTTTTGGGGGTCAAATGACCCTTTCACAGGGGTCATCAAAGACCATCGGAAAACACAAATATTTCACAATATATGATTACATATTGTTTTGTGATTAATCACTATGCTTTAAATATAAATTGTTCAATTTGTAACAATGAAAATACATCCTGCATATCAGATATTTACATTATGATTCCTAATAGTATCAAATTTACAGTTATGAAGTAGCAACAAAATAATTTTATGGTTGGGGTTCACCACAACATGAGGAACTGTATTAAAGGATTGCGGCATTAGGAAGGTTGCAAGCCATTGATTTAGAGGTTCTGAAAGGATTGTGTTAATGGTCTGGGACTAAAAAAGGGCTGATTTGCAGCATACAGGACTGATTTTGCTGCCATGACAATGAACCTCTTCATGCAGCTATCTCTGTACCAGTGTTTTGGGAAAAAACCAGCGTGCCTCTTGCCCCACGTACCTGACTCCCTTGACCTTGCTCCATGAGACTTCTTTCTGTTTCTGCGCGAATGAAGAGGGACAGGAAAGGACAGCAATTTGACTATGTAGAAGAGGTGAAATAAAGAGGGAGGTGCTGTCGGCCATCCAAGAGAAGCACACCAGCCTGTGTGATCATGAGGTGTTGATGGGGTCAAGTATCAATATCCCGAACAATCATACAGATGTAAATTGGGGGGATGGGGGCCGGTGAGGAGACCCAAAGTCCATCTGTGGACAGTTGGACATCCCTCACAGAAGAGTCATAAGGAAAGGACAGGTCAGCCAGGGTGCAGTATAGTACTGAAGAAACATACAACTGCTCTAGTTCTTTAATGCTTTTTATCCCACCCCTGCCCACTATTATGATTCCAGTTCTACCTTACAAATCTGGCTAGACCAGAGCATGTACCCTGGTACAGATAAGAGCTCTCGACACTCGAAATCCAGGACAGATTCAGGAACAATAATGGGAGTAGGAATACCATGAGGGTAAGGGGAAGGAGGGAAGAGGACGTATAACTGGACCCCAACCCCCATCTCCAAGGGGAACAAAAAACAAACATGGGTGAAGGGAGACAGTGGTCCGTGTAAGATATGAAAATAATTTATAAATTATCAAGGGCTCATGAGGGAGGGAGGGGGATGAGAGAAGGAGGGGAAAAAGTTGATCACCAAGGTCTCAAGTAAATGTCGTGCAAAGGATGATAGCAACATATGTACAAATGTGCTTGACACAATGGATGTATGGACTGTTATAAGAGCTGTAAGAGACCCCAATAAAATGATTTAAAAAGAAAAAGTTTCCAAGAATAGAATAGTGGATTTGACAAACATATTAAGTGTAATGCATAGTTTTTGAAGGTGATTAGATGGTTTTGTAAAAAAAAAATTGTAATACATGGCTTTGAAAAAATATTCCAGTCATTTTTTGGGGTACACCCCTTGTATAAGCTCCTAAGACATTTTACTGTGTCTTTGAATCTCATCCTTATATCTATAGTGGTTGGTACATACAGGAACCAAGAAACCAGAGTCACTGCTCTAAGATGGTATAGTAGTTAAGCCTTGGGCTGGGTTCAACATTTCGAAAACCCCTGCCCACTTCGGAGTAAGATGGACTTCCTATTCCTGTAAAGAATTACAATCTCAGAAACTCACAGGGGCAGTTCTAAACCTATCTAGTATGGCAGCGTTGCTTCTTTTTTGTGTATGAGATGTATATATTGATGTCCTTCAAAAACTTAGGTATCGCGAGTACTTTCTAGTGACAGTTAAAAGTGTTTTTGTAATTAAAATGTTTATTTTAGGAAATAGATTGGAAAGTGAGAAAGAATTGTAAGGCAACCTTAAACTACATCCAGCAAAAACGTTTATTCAGTAATTTACTACGTGTTTATTTTCTACTTTAACCTTATGCCGAAACTGGAAAATGTATCACAACTATAATAATTTAAATCGGAAGGATTTGTGTATTAATGATACATATTGTACATATGTATATTTTTAAAATTTTTGTAATAAAAATACCTAGAACATGTAATATTAAAAATATCTTTGTTGAGAAGTAGACAATAACCTTTGGGGGCGGGGGAAGTATTAAAATTTATGGGGTTAATTCTTTTAATATCCATGTTTTACAGGGTTCTGATGACTGTCTTGTGAAAATCTGGGCAACAGATGATGGGAGGCTGCTAGCTACTTTAAGAGGACATGCTGCTGAAATATCCGACATGGCTGTAAACTATGAGAATACCATGATAGCATCCGGGAGTTGTGATAAAATGATCCGAGTATGGTGCCTTCGAACATGTGCACCTTTGGCTGTTCTTCAGGGCCATAGTGCATCTATAACATCACTACAGGTAATTGTGCTTTAAACCCTGCTGCCAATCCTCTTTAGTTAAAATTTAAAGTAATTTTTAAGAAGTCACTTAGGTAATCCCATTGTATAAAACCAATTCACATGAATGCAGTAAAAGCCCTTTTTGTGTTCTTTTAAACAAAATAACATGATTCTAGTCAATTTTCTAACTAGATACTGTATGTGTGGTAAAAAGTGCATTTTATTGTTTGAACTATGTTGCTTATAACAGTGTTTTCCTTCTCTCTGATTGTTTTTCAGTTTTCACCGTTATGTAGTGGCTCAAAGAGATATCTGTCATCTACTGGGGCAGATGGAACTATTTGTTTTTGGCTCTGGGATGCTGGAACCCTTAAAATAAAGTCAGTCACTAAATTACTTCATACATGTGATTCATTTAATGACTGAGATTGTGAAAGTTTGGAATGATTTAATTTTTTTCTCCTTAATTAACTAACAAAATTTTTTAAAAGTAATGCTTCACTGTATTATTACTAGCATTTAAAAAAATAGCTCTTCACTGAATATTATTAACCTTTCTCATTTTCATTTTTTTAAAATGTTGAGAATATGCACACCAATTGAACAGTTTCTACCTGTACAGTGAATAGCATTGATTTCAATCTTTAAGTTGTGTAACCATTCTCATGCTCGTTGTTAACATTGTAATCTAAGACGAGACATGCTCCATAAATTTCATTTGTATGAACATTCCTTGAAGATGCTTTAAATGGCAGGTAATTTGGAACCTGTGGCAGCTTAAGTAGCATCATAAAACAAGCTATAGTTTTCTGAAAAATAATCGTGATCAAAGATGTACTGCTTTGAAGAAAACAGATGATTTTACCTTAGTTGCAGTCTTAATATTTAAAGCTGTTCCATACAAGCTCTAGTGGCGTTGTGGGTTAGGTAACTGGGCCACTAACCACAGAGTTGGCAGTTAAAACCCAAAATATTCATTAAATATAACCCCTAAAACAATTAACTGCACTATGTGTATTGGAACTAGTCTAATGACTAACATCTATACTATAATTTACATTTGTTAATATGATTGATTCTAGAATGACATTTAATGTCAGTAGTATTAATATAAATTGTGTTGTACTATTATAAACATAATCTTTGTATATGCCGTGAATATGTTAACTTTTTTCTGTACATATTACTATTTTTGAATGAACAACTTAGTTGACCTAAGAACCAGATCTTCAGATTTTGCCTTAATTAGGTGTTTGGTGTGACAGGGATATGGGGTTTATTCCATGCATGTGTTAATTGTTGTGTAGCCAGGAATCCTAAGATATCTTCATCTATAATTTCCACATGATCTTCTGATCATGACAGTGATTTTAACTTTTTAGGAAGGGAGCCATTTGTTGCTACTTACTTTTGTTCTTTTGCACCTATTTTTTGAAAGTTATTTCTGATGTTATTGAACATTTTAAATTGCCTATTTTTTCTATTGCAGTCCAAGACCTGCAAAATTTACTGAACGTCCTAGACCTGGGGTTCAAATGATCTGTTCTTCTTTTAGTGCTGGTAGAGTATTTTCCCCTAATTATTCCATAAAGTTTTCTATTGGAAAGTTTCTAATGGACTACATTAAATTTTGGCAAATATTTATTAGTGTTTTCATATATTTGTATACATAGGTCAGGGTCAATAGCAAACCAGAAGGATCATATAAACTGATTTTAAAATATTTGAAATGTGCTAGAGTTTAGCTTATAATTAAATAACATGTTTTAATCTATAATGCTTTCATAGGATAGAATGTAATCATTTTGAAACTGATTTTTTTTAAAGAAAGGAGTAAAACTTTTAATAGTTTTATTAGTGAAGGACATTTAAATCTAGCTTGTGAGTTCATGGATTTAGGATGGTAATAGCTAAGTAAGATAAATTTAACTGATAACTGCACCTTATTTAATTACATTGCTCCAAATTGTGTTTTTGTTTTTTTCAAATAGGTATATAGCAATGCTGGTAGTCTAGTTTTTCAAACCTTCAAGTTGTGAAGTTTTATTGAGTAGAGTTTTGAATCAGGAGCTTTTGATGTTTCTCAACCAAGTATCATCTAGAAATGTGAAGTGAATTGAAAATAAAAGGAAACTTGAGGAAATAGATTCAGTACTAGTTTCTAGTACTTGTTCCTGCGAGCTTTTTACATTTTTCATTTTTGTATTCATTTTTTAAATGTAAATTGCAGCGTTATCTGGGATGAGTGCTAGTATATTGATGAAAGTATTTATTTTCTCTATATTAATAATCCAGCATCCTCAGTGTCTGACTTAACATATATACTCCAGTATAAGCCAACCCGAATATCGGCCAAGGCACCTAATTTTACCACAAAAACAGCATTAAAAATGTGCTGTAAAACCTCGGCTTATACACGAGTATATACGGTAGATTCCTAGGGTAGCTGATAGGAGAACAGATGTTTTTTTTTGTAGTACCAGTATAAATATAAGTACTACACATGCATTCAAATTATGTAATTTGCCCTTTTATTTAAGGGTTCAATAGGTAGATCATTACCAAAATTACTTGAATATTTAATTATGCACAAGCATTCAATTCAACATTATGGGAGAGAGTTGCTCTTTAGAGGAAGCAAATTGAGTGCTTGCTTCGGCGGCACATATACTAGAGGAAGCAAATTGCATGTACAAGTAAGTGTAATGCAAGCTAGAATATATGTGCTACAAGTTCGTGATCTATGAGAGTTCCAAGCAGACAGCCCTCCCTTAAAATTGAAACTTTTGTAATGACAAAATTACTTTGGGAATGAGACCATAGTTTGAGAGAATTTAGTAATGGGAAATGGAGTGAGACTGGGATTTTAGTAGAATGTTGTCTAGTAAGTAAGTCCGATATTTTCACGTCGTAAGGTTATGTCATCAGTGAAACATTTAAATGTTCAATATTGATTTTGGTGATGTTGATTGCATTTCATTTTAATATTCCAAGATTATGAAATGTGTTTTACTCGTGAATTTTTGTTGTTATTCCTTAGGTGGAATGTTTCTGGCCACAGGAAGCACCGATCATATTATAAGAGTTTATTTTTTTGGCTCGGGTCAGCCAGAGAAGATATCAGAATTGGAGTTTCATACTGTAAGTATTGGTGAAAATAATTAGATGAGTAGAATTTATGAGTTTGGAAGCTTATATTGAGTATCACCTGTTTTCTTTTATCCATTTATATATAGGACAAAGTTGACAGTATCCAGTTTTCCAACACTAGTAACAGGTAAAAAAAAATTATTTGTATTTGTCAAATTCAATCCCAATTTTAAAATTAAGAACTAAGGATAATTTTATAAATGGTCAGGTTGTAATGTTTCATAGAAATACCCAACCTAAAATAAGGTTCTTTGCCTTTATAATAGACAGTGATTATGTAGTCTTTAAAAGTGAGATAAAACTTAAATCTATTGTCATTGAGTTGTTTCCAACTCGTAGTAAACAGAAGTTTATTTCTTATACTTTAAATTAAAGTGTAGGAGAACTTTTGATGGAGATTGGAAATTTATCACAGTGTAATATTTGAGTCACAATCGTGTTAATGATAAGTTTACATGGCATGTTGTCAAATTTTCTCTGCTTTTTGAAAGGAAATAAAACTGTGTTTAATCACCTACAATAGAGTAGATTAAGTTCTTTAGTGTTGGAGATAAGGCTAACTTTTCTTTTTAACTAGAAAATATTAATCCTGTTTTTCGGGTAGTTAATAGTTTAAGTTCATTTTGGAGTCATTTTTGGGACTTAACCATAAAGCCCATAAAATAATTAGAAGTCTTTGATGTGCCTTAAATATTTAATGCATAATCTCTATTCTATTAAATTGCTTTGTTTAGTAAAGATAAGTGATGATTGTTCTGGTTTTTATCTTTAAAATGGAACTCTGGGAGAAACGGATTGGGTAAAGCTTGTATGATCCCATCCCCCCACCCCCTTTTCTGGTGGGGGTTCCTATTAAATTAGGTTTGTAAGTGGGAGTCGTGATGGGACAGCTCGTATTTGGCAATTCAAACGAAGAGAATGGAAGAGCATTCTGTTGGATATGACAACTCGTCCAGCTGGGTAAGAGATCATGTATTAGGTAATCCATAGCTAAAGATCATTTAAAGTATGCTATACATTACTCTCTTTCTCACCATTTATATGCACACATTTGTATGTGTGTGTGTGCGTGTGTATGTTGAAGTGACTCAGCACCATAACATCACATCATAATTTAGTTTAAGTTGTTACATTTCGGTAATGTAGTATTCCTAATGGGAATTTTTAAGAATTGGTGAGAGCATATTTGAAAAGCTTGTGGCATTAATGCTTGCTTTTGTTTTTTTAATTCTGATTTTGTTAAAGGAATGATCTGAGTTTAAGACCAAAGTTTTAGTAAATTTTTCATAAACCAGAATATATAATGCTCCATGTACCATAAGGGGATATAGATGTGGTGGTATATCTAGTGATCTTCTTTATACAAACTGTGACTTTGGTTTTAATATTTCATCCTTTTTCTCTATTTGTATTCGACTATAGTAGTCTCAGATGGATGAGAGAGTAGTGCAGTTAGTAGGCATTATTGCAGTGGTAGAAGGTAAGCACCATGGCACAGAACCCCCCATCTTAAAGCAGTGACCTGGGAGAATTGGAATCCTGGCATTCTTGATTCAGTGTAGTGATTTTTTAACTTTATCCTCATTTACTGCTAAGTGATAATTATTCATGCTATTCAGTATAAATGTAAAGTATAAATACATGTAGAATGTTGCCGTATCAGTATTTCAATCAATAGTGACAATATAAAATACTACCTCTATCATTTTCAGCCAGAACCTTCAGGGAATAGAAGATAAAATCACAAAGATGAAAGTAACTATGGTAGCTTGGGACCGACATGACAACACAGTAATAACTGCAGTTAATAATATGACTCTGAAAGTTTGGAATTCTTATACTGGTCAACTTATTCATGTCCTGATGGTAAGAGAAAAAGACTCAGCTTTATTTGATATAATTTAAACCTGTCAAATGGAAAATTCTCAGTGAGAAGTAAAATATCTCATGTTAGCCAAAAAAGTCTTCCTTAGATGGGTAATTAAACTTATAGGAGATTGGTTAAACTCAGTGCAGTTTGGCTTGGAAATAAATTACAGATCCTTACTAGAATTGGTTTGTTAAGTTTATTAATAATGCCCTCATGTTTCACCAGATAGCTGTATGATGTTAGCAACTCAAATGTATACATATATTTGAAATATTTTGCCACTTTAGTAATTCTTAAAAATCTAATTTTATAAATGTTCACAATTTGCTTGCCCCACCCCCTTTTATGTATTTATCATTTGAAACTTTACAAATATTCCAGGGCCATGAAGATGAAGTATTTGTTCTTGAGCCACATCCATTTGATCCTAGAGTTCTCTTCTCTGCTGGTCATGATGGAAACGTGATAGTGTGGGATCTGGCAAGAGGAGTCAAAATACGATCTTATTTCAATATGGTAATTATTAGTCTCTTCATTTTATAGCTTAAGATACAGAGATGTCTTGAAATAGGCACTCATATATCACAAAGGAAATCCATTTTAGAAATTATCTTTATATTATCTTTTACTTCAAATTTCTACTTAGATTGATCCATATCTTTATGAAGATGCTAAATTAACAAATACACATTATAATATCTGTATGTTAGGTAAACTTATTTTTAAGAGTAGTTTTAACATCAAAACAGATGAAAAACTAGAAATATGATGTACTATAGATAAAAAATCTTTGGACTATTATATCAAGTAATTCTAAGTAAATGAAAAGTTTACTATGCTATTGTACAGGCAGTCCCCAGATTATGAAAAAGTTCGGTTACTAAATCTGTCTTTAAGTTCAATTAGTATGAATATTGGAACAGTATAGTTCCGCATTCAACATTAGTCAAATTTCTGCCATACTATTTTGGGCATAGTGTACCTTTCTGCCCATAAAACGCAGTAAATAAATACTTTCTCATTATGCTAAAATATCTATAACATGATACAGTAATAATAATTTGGTGTCCATTACGAAATAGCTCCCATTTGCTATATGAAACCATTGCATGTACCTAGGCTTTACAGGAGTTGATTTGTGATTACAGGTTGTATGTAAGTTGGTAATGTGAAGACTGCCTGTATTTTACTAACCACTCCCTTTAGTGGCAAAGAAACTGAATCAGTCCACCCATTTTAAAATTAAAGCCAAAAAACAGGCTTTTGCCTTTTATCAAGTTAGTGTGTATCAGATATTTATTTGTGCTTAATTTTACTGCTACTGTACTGTGTAAACATTTCTCTCTAGCATAAGGTGACCAGACGTCCCGCTTTGGCGGGACAGTCCCGATTTTTGGAAAGAATGCACGACAAGCTAGGGAATGGTCTATTTGGTCCATATAGACCAAATTTTTAATCAAGAAACACCCCCACCCCGGTCAATGGTGTCCCGCTTTAAATCTGGTCACCTTAATCTAGCAGCTGTTTGAAGTAGAAAATGCTCTTCATATACTGCTATTTGATAGTCAGTTTTTTACATCAGGGGTATCTATCTCTTAGCACCCCCTGCCCTCAAGGGAAAAATAAATGAACCAAGAAAAACTTATCTCCATTATTTTGGCATGTTGAGGTTTTTTTAATAAATTCAACTATAGAACTCAGTAATAAATCATGAAAATAGGTGTGAGTTAATTGCAAAAAATAATGGTTTTATTACAAAAAACATGTAATCTTTTCATGGAAAAATTACTTAGACTAATATGCTTGGTTGATAATCATAGTACAAGGGTGCTTCATAAAGTTAGTGGAAAAACTTCGTTATCTTTTCTTCTTTTTGTTGTTCTTTTCTTAAACCTCTGAACTTTGTCCTTGGGTAAATGCTGTTCTTTTGATCTTAAATGATTGATTATTCTAACCTGAGGGTGAATTAAATTCCAGGCCTAAACAGTGACTAAAGGTCATTTAGTCATGGGGGTTCCATCATTCTCTGTCCAATCAATAAGCCTGAGCCTTTGCATGATTTTGACTTCTTTCCAGTGTTTGTTTTTTCTTTCTCATTTTATCCAGGATCTTCTAATGTGATCCATTCTAAGAAGGTGGTATTGGTAGCTTATTTATCAGCAACTAGCTCTTCAGGTCTCAATATATGGAGCCTGATGTTTGTGTGGTTATTGGTTCATTTTACTAATTGTTTCCATGTGTCTTAGAATTTTCATTACTCTTCTTTTCTCTGAATGGGGAGGGACTGGCTGATCATTGTACCTTAGATTGCTGCTCACAAGCTTTTAAGACTCTAGGAGAAAACTGAACAAAAGTATGATATAGAGCATTTGTCTTGATGAATTGTTTTGTCAATTGACTTGGTGTCCTCTGTACTATGGTTCTTATTCCCCTATCCCGGCATGCATTCCCTGAAGGAGTTTGCTTATGTCTAAGAAGTTTTCATAACTTTGCCCCCCTGTGTGCTCCGTCATGGATCTAGCAGCAAAAGTAAATAAATATCCTGTCAAACGTATATGTATTTGAGTGTGCTCCAACACCTGTTTAGGCCATGCCTGTCTGAGCATCTACTGTAGCATAGTACTATTTGCCTCTAACACCTGAAAACTGCCTAGTGCCTTGCCACCATTTTTGGCCAGTCTTCCTTATTAAAGTATATTGCCTTCCTCTTTACCCAGGATAACACTTGTCTAACCTTTCCTTTCTTCCCCTCCCATCCCTGGTAAACAGTCATCAAAGACTGTTTCTTTTGGTACGGAAACCTCTTACTGCCTTTTAATGATAATTATCTCATAGAATATTCTTTTGTGATTGACTCTTTTTACTCAGCATAATGTCCTTCAGGTTCATCTATATTAAGAGGTGTTTTGTGTATTCCACGAACTTGCATTTTTCCACGAACTTTTGAAGCTACAGTGTACAGTTACTTTCATTTGGGGGATAAACCAAAAAAGATGAGTGAAGAAACTGACATTAGTTGACTTGATGGATGTCCCTTACTGCACATTGTTAGTCAAACTCTCACTTTGTTAGGCAGACGGACTTGTAAGTGGTAGATGGATTTCCTTTGTGATTGTGTGTAAACAGGTATTTTTTTAAAGAGAACACATCCTTAAATATTCTGGTGTAAAGATGATTTTTCTCTCATTATCCTCATGATGACTGAATTTGTTCCTTTTGGAACATCTCATTTTGAATAGGAAATTAGCCATTTCTTATGTTGTCTTTAAAGCTTTAAATGGCAATTAAAAACTGTATGTGGGTGTGTACACATGTATGTCTGTCTATATAACTCACGAAAGGACTATTATAGTGTAGAGGGAATTTTTTTCCTCACATTTTGTAACACTGCTTTCACCTTTTAATTATGAAGGTGAACTTTTCTTCATCAGGTAAGTTGGTCACATTAAAGTCCTACTTTTTGAGTAGATTTTTAAAATGGCAACACCTAGAGATATAAGTGATTTGCCCTCGGACCAGTACTAGAATCAACCATGTATTGTTGTTACTAGCTAGAGTCAGTCCTTAAAAAATGTTTATTGCTGTTTTAGATGACATTTTTCTTGTTCTTTCTATGGATAAATTAAAAATTCTAAAGGAAAGAAAATATGGAATAAATATAATATGCTGATATAGTATTTTCAAACTGGGTAAAACAAAGAAAACATTTTAAAATATTTTATGCTTTAAAACTAAAAACCAGTGTCCTTCATCATATTAAAATAGAGACATGGCCTTTAATGATTTTTAATGGCTTTTAAAATGCTTATATATACACATAGAAGAGATTTCATATATATATTATCTCTTCTATGTATATTATGTCAGGGAAACCTTGTAATATAATTAGGGTAGATTGAATAGATAAAAAGGGCTTTGGCCATGTTTCTTTCTGCCATATATGTATTTGGAGTTTAAACACATCTGTTTCAAAGTATACTAAATTTAGTCGTAGTTGGGTTTCTTTAATTTTTATTAATATCTCTGCACAGCTAATTTTTAACCATACAGTTTAGTGATAACTTCCTGGTAGAAATGTTTCATAATATTATGATCTCTCAGAGGATCTTTTGAAATGTTCTTCAGCTTGATGGCTTTTTTTTTTCCTGTCTCATAAATTATAAATTTTCTAAGTGCCCTACTTCTTTCCCCTCTCTGCTCTTTTTTGCTTTTGTTTTCCATTTCATTGCTATTTAAGAAAATCAAGAAACCCAATTTGAGGGCTAGTAGAAGCTTGTATTATTGCCCACTATCAAGAATATTGGACTTTTGTGTAGTTATAGCTATTTGGCTCTTTGTAGTGAATCAAGTTTTCTGAATTACAAATGTACCATAAAAATGATCAAGTACAAATTTATTCCCTGATGTTAAATTATACAAGTAATCACAATTTTTGAAGCCATTTGACGATGTATAATTAACAGTATTTTTAGTTCAGAAGTGGTAAATATTTTAACTAACAATTTCTGTGAATCTTAAGTTGTTAACATATAACATGAATAAATAAATTTCAACATTACACATAGAACCAGAAACTAAGAGTATACCTTTAAAAGAACAAAATATTATATATAGAAGTAAGCCATGTGATATTTAACCAAAATGTCTATTTGAAACTTAAAATTTCTTTGAAAAAGATAATGGCTATCATGTAAGACATAATACGCTATTTTGTATTAAAAAATATTTTGCTGTACAGTACTTTATAGAAATTAAAGCCTTTCATTAAATTTTGAAAATCCCACCATTAAAGGGCCTTTTAAATGAGTTAAATTTCTAAATAATATAAAGAAATGGGCCTCCAAATCAAAACAAAAATCTTAAAAAGAGTGCATGCCATCAAGTCAATTCTAATAGCAACTTTAAAAGACAGGGTAGAATGCCCCTGTTGGTTTCCTAGAGTGTTAAAACTCTAGGGGAGTAGAAAGCTTCATCTTTCTCCCTCGGAATGGCTGGTGATTTCAAACATCTGACCTTGAAGTTAGCTGTCCAACACATAACTTACTTTCGCCACCAGGGCTCTTTATGGAAGATAGTGATTCTGCCTTTAAATAGCTGATAATATTATAAGCACTCAATTTTCTCATATTGTACTTACATGTGATATTCAGATAAATATTCTTTTTTCTATGTGTATCAAGCCATGATTTAAATCTTTTTTTAAGTTTCTTATATTTTCAAATCACCTATGAACAGTTTATGAAAGATTTTCAAGTAGAAGTTAACATTGGCTCCATTTTATGTTTAAATAATTCTCTAATTTACTTTATTTAAAAAATATATTTTAAAGTTCTATTCTGAACTTGCCTGTGGCATTGTCCTGAAAAAGCAATGGGGGCATTTCCCTATTTTAAATGATAGCTTCCTTCCTAGTGCAGAATCTGATTGGTTAAAGCAGCAGGGGTTTAGGCACTGAGTTTGATGAAGTGAGATTACATTTTAAAGGGACATGGAATAGACATAGTTTTGAAGTCTTC